GTTCATTATTGGAGGTGGATGAACCCACTATCTTGTATTAATTAACTGTTTTAATATGGGAGTCTTACAAGAGCTTCTCTAGTCTTTCAAGGGGTGGATTATAAACATGAACTCATGTACTGCTATTTATAATGAACTTGTTGGAGGATGGTTAATTAAGGTCAATTACTTCCCAACTACCAACTTATTTTCATTACATCTCAAATTTAATTTGATAGACAATTGGTGTGATGCCTTGAACCACAAAGTATACTTATATTAGTCAGACATTCACTATAATTTTCTCATTGGTGTTTAAAGGAGAAACTTATAAAATACACAAATTTCCATTTTCCTGAAACTTATAATCTCTCTGATTTTCATTTATAAACTATGATCCGGGTATTGGTTAAACTTATAATTTTCATTTTTTCGAAGAAGAGAAACTTATAAAATGCACAAATTTCCTTATTTTTTGAAAGCGAGAAGTTTATAAAATACACCAATCCCCATTTTTCAATTGGATGGCAGTTTTAATCTCTAGGTCGAACGAGTTCAAAAGGCAAGAAACTTACAAAGTGCGCCAAAAAAGTTTCCGTACCAACATTTTCCGTCTAAATCCACACAGTTTCTTTGACAATGAATGTCACTTGAACATACCCAACATTTCTCAAAAAATAAATATACAATAATGTAAAACAAAATGTTTCTCCATGCATTCTCCTCAATCACCCGAAGTAGAACATTGTCAACGTTGCTCTTTCTTTGACATAGATATTGATTAGTTCTACCTCCCATTACAACAAGAACGTGTCGACCAACACTTTGATGCTTGTTCAGGTCATGAGTACGAATCTGCACATAGGCTATCATACATCAGTAAAATGAGTGTATCGAGATAAAGCACGCAGAAAGCAAAGTGAAGAAATGCAATACCGTCAAGGTCCATGCTATCTTTATCAATCATCTCATAAAATAACAAAACGTTTGCCAGAATTTCAGAAAGGTGTGTAGAGTTTGTGATTCAATCCATTTGCATTATAAACTGTATCGGAGTAGGGTTTTATTGCATCTAGTAAGAGCTCAATAAGTGCAGTTATACATCAAGTTCTAAATTTCATGATATTTAAGTTTTCGAATGTAATTGTACTACTGAAGTGTGCCAAAACAAAAAAAAAAAACTGCTCACTTATTTTTTTGCTCTCTTTGCAATCCTCCTCGTGTACAAAGTCTTAGGCATGCAGATTGCCGCATCTTAGTGATAGGTGGCTTATCCCCGAGCACGGTTGTGGTGGCCTCCACCGGCATTTCACTTGCATCGCCTACAAAATATTGCAAAGGGCCCTAAACATTTAACCGAACCTGTACCACTGACCATAACCAATCAGATCAAAGTTTTCCTACAAGAAACTTAACCGTCCCCCTCTGCCATGCTGTTAGCGGAAGCAACTAGGTCCTGCTCAACGTTTCCCGCACCAGCATGGGGAACTCCCTCGTCGTCACCATCCTTCGAACCGACACAAGCTTCTTTGTCGTCGTCGTCATCATGTACGGGTGGTTGGGGGTCCATGCCATCTCCGCTTGCTACTGCAAAACAACATACTCAATATTAAACCCTAGCGTATAGTTCAGTAGGTCTAGCATGACTACTTGGGAATGACGAGACTCTTTACTATGAAACAAAATTAAACAAGATAATTAACTCAATACCGTTCCCCTCTTGCATGTCAATGCCCATCTCTTCGTCATGGTCGTCAGGCGACAGTGGTGGTCTCCTCCGTCTACAATAAATGAACAATTGCATTGAAATGAACGAGCTCAATATTTGACGCCAATAAGTGTACAATAAATCAACATTGAAATATTTGACATGAACGAGCTCAATATTCGGATACACACCATTATGTACTTACATTATCACGTGAATCCCTGACAAAAAATAGAGACTATAAATATAGCCTACATAAGCATAAATAGTTACAAAATTAAAAAATTCAGCTATGTTACCATTGAATTTCACCTAGGAGCATACAATGTTTAGGTGACGGTTACAGCAAACTAAAATATTTGTGCGCATCACTAATAAAAATTGCAAAACATTTTAAAGTAAAAAGCTATACAAAAGTACTATCACTTTATGTTTCCATTGTGAAATAAACACATTCAAAAGTACTGTCACGTCATTAATTACGTAAAACAACAGTTATATTATCCTTGAGAATATTTGACTATTTCCCTAGTTAATTCCTACAATGTATCTGATATGTTGTTTAATTTAACGTTGGTTGACTTTCTATCCGCTCGAATGGAGTCCTAGTCGACGTAGTGGGCACTCGAATACATGTCGATCATTGTATATTTGCGTTAATGTCATTGTCATATTGAACGATTATGGTTGATGCCAATGGTACATCAATGTGTACTTCTATGCAAAAGTGATTTGTGTCGTATTTGTTACAAAAATTTAATAATGGAAGAAATTAATAGAATCTACCAAGATTTGAAGTATAACATCGAAATGATACATTTGTTTTCAACTAAACATATTTAACGTAAAATATAAGAATTTGGCATTGTATAACTACCATATTACGGAACTTACCGTCTGCTGCAAGCATAGGAAACTTCATAACTGTTCTGTCATGTACCTTTCGGGTCAACACCTTCATACGAAATAATCAAGTTTCAAATGTCTATGTTAAGAAATCAAAATAGTTGAGCAATTGTTTTTTAAAACTGAAAGTGGTAACTACCATATTACGGAACTTACCGTCTGCTGCAAGCATAGGAAACTTCATTACTGTTCTGTCATGTACCTTTCGGGTCAACACCTTCATACGAAATAATCAAGTTTCAAATGTCTAGGTTAAGAAATCAAAATAGTTGAGCAATTGTTTTTTAAAACTGAAAGTGGTAACACATACCAATTGCCTCCTTTACCCATCTAGTTAACAGACCCTTCAGTAGTTTGGACTACCAACTTTCAGGTCGGTATCTTTATACAAAACAACCATGCTTGAAATCATAAAGATAAAAACTTCAAACAGTGGGACAAATACGTTTTTGAATTAAAATGATAATACATACCAATTCCCTCATTTACCTAGCTAGCCGATGGACCCTCCTGTAGTCCAATCAAGCACCTTTTTGGTCCGTGACTTCTTTATTTAGAATAACAGTTTATCTCTACAGATGGATTCATAACTATTATATTTATATTTCATGAAGTAGTAATGGTGCTCAGATGATATGTTATACATTTCAACCCCTAAAATCACACTTAGAAGCGAAGTTTAACAAAATTTGACTTCTGCAACAAACTGTCGAGAATTTCAGAGCCTAACTGTCGGTTAGCCTCGACAGATGATTTCGTTACTGTCAGAATTGACATTTACATTTCACATTCATATTGGTTTTACAAGATATGAAGAGTTAAGTTATGACAAATATGATATGTGTTATACTTATAGATTCAAATAGCACCACTTTTAATATACTCGGCAATAAGTTTTATATGTAAATGCAAAAGCATTTTCAAGAATGAAAAATAGAATGATCCAAAACTTAAAACAACATTCAAATAACCTCGAATAATCATATAAAGACACTTAACCGAGCTTATTTGTACATATTGACCAGAATATACCCAATTCAATCTTGGCTCATTTCACAAACTAAAAAATTAAACTCAAACTCAATTTGTCCAATAATGACCAATAACCAATATTTACATGAAAGAAAAGTGAAAAACATAATTATAAAAAATAAATTTATAGATAACTTATATAAACCATAATGTTAACATTTTCATATAACTAGAAAAATAGACAACAAAAATTGAAAAAATGAGACATATTGTACTAATCTAGGGCAAAAATTGTGAAGAATAAAAAAATAAATACCGTTAAATTTGAAAAATCAGAAGAGAAGAGAGCAAAAAATGCAAAAGGAAAGAAAAAAGAAAACCTCAAGCGATTAATAGTGATCTTCATCGGTAGTGAGGTGAGAGCATTTGATGTGATGTTTTAAAAATTTTTGTACTATTTTTCATCTAGTCAAATCAATTTTTAATGAAGGACATGTAAGATATTTGAATTATCTAGAGGGACATAAATATTCAAAATTGACAATCTTACAAAGATTTTAAAAAAATGACATTTTTGTATATGTAAAACCAAAAATTGACTATTTTGGTAATTTTCACTTTATGAAAAATAGAATGACAATTAGTTCTGATAGCAAAAAAAAACCTCCAGGGACAAGTATTATATATGTATGTAAATATGGTTAAGTATTATATACGAACATTGTCCCATCATTATTATTGAATCGTGTTGGATTATTGAAGTAGAGTCCCTCCACAGAGTCGCACTGTCTTCTTTAATCAAACGGTAAAATATCAAATCCCCATAAAAAGTTAAATAATATTTATTTTCTCTTTTTTACATCCATAAAATGTATTAAAAAATTTCTTAATAAAAAAATAAAATGTTGAGATAAACGTAGGAATACAATCAACTCAATAAGAAACGATTAAAATAATATTAGCGAAAGAAGTTAGCTTGTAAAGTTTGACATGCTTTATTCCCATTGTACACAACATGAACTACATCACACTTTCTGAAACAAAGCTACAAAATAGCAATTATATTGCAAAGAAGGTCGACGAGGGATGCTAAAATGAATCTCATTGACACCATTTGTGAGAAGCTAAGCACCAACTTGTCACTTAAAGGGCATAGTCGCCCTAAAGGCCATTTTTGAAAGTACGTAACTCTTATTCATTGTGGAGTATATGTCATTTTGGGTGTAATAGGTCTTGAACCCGTAACCATTAGGTTAAAAGCCCAATGCTGTGCCAACTTTTTACTATTTTTCTTAAAGCTTGTTCACCTAATGAATAAGAGACCACTCTATTCCATTTTTTATTTTATTTTCTTGGAACTAAATTTTCTTTATATATATATATATATATATCCCCATTAATTATTAAAGGATAATAAATAAATAAATATCTTTATTGGTATTCAGATAATAATCACAAATTTAGCCAAACGCCTCTCTGGCCTCGAGTGCGATTTCTCATTCATGCTTTCTCGTCTGCGTGTGTTTCTTCAGAGTTCAGATTAGTCTAAACATTCAGGTTTTATACTTTTTCTCTAATTTCCTTAGTCGGCATGTTTTGATTTTGTTATCATCGTATGTATATGTTCTATGTGCACTTCCAATTTTCAGTGGCGTAGCTAACTGTAAAATTCATTCAGAGAGTTTGGGTTTTCGGTAAATGACATCTGATCACTGAATTTACACAGGGCGAATTGAATAGAAATCACGGGCTGAATGTATATATGTATGCTGTATATTTAGGTATCATAGGTGGGTTGTACTCGTTGTGTAAATTGGTTTCTTACCCCTTTTTTGGGGAGGGTTTCGAGGTTTACGGGATATAGACTCCGGCAGGTGGAATTGGAAAGTGGTTGAACTAAAAAGGGATGTTAAGGAAAGAAGAGAAGTAATTAATTTGTTTTTGCTGCCTGCGTTTGCTTCATTGAAATGGAGAAACGGGAAATAATGTGTTCATTAAACTTAATTCATAGATTTTAGATAGAAACAGGAAAGAATGAGAGAATTATGATCTTCCATGCCAGTGTCTGGATTTTGTACTAGACATTGCTGGAAAATATCTGTATCTATGGACATACAGTGTCTTGTAAAGGGATTGAGGGAACCTATACTTGTGCACATCATTTGGCTTTAAATTGGGCCAATCACGGGACAAGTGGCAGTGTATCTATCCACGGCTGCGAGTTATCTAAATTTGTCAGTGCAAGCATTGAATTTTTTTATATGTGACCTGGCCTTCACGGTCTGAGAGTGAAGCTTCAATACCAAATCCTCCATACTTTTGGAAATTACTCACTGGCACTTGGTCCTAAATCTTGATGTTGTCTTCCTGGACATGGAGGTATATTACAAAAGGCAAACATTAAAATGTTGATTATCTAGGTTTATGGCCTTGTAAGTGGTGAAGTTTATGGAATTGTGGAATCATAGAAATGCGGGCAGATAATGCATTAAAGGAAAGACTTTTTCAATTGCCCTAATTCAAATTTCATTACAAGCGTTAGGCACTATAGATAGGTAGTTCTATTGGTACCAACAAAATGTCACAATCAACATAAGCCTCAAAAGAAATGTTGGAAGCATAATCTGAAAATGATTAATGTTCTTTCTACATGTTGTTTCCCTTTTGCTTTCTTTAAATGAATGTAGATTTCTCTTCGAAAAAGAGATTACTTCCACTTGACAAACATCCTCAGTTTTTTTTTAAGGAAGGCCATTAGATTTTTTCCTTCCAGCGATTGATGTGCAATGTCATGCATTTCCTTCACAAGGATACATTTCTAAATACCACTCGAAATCTTGGTTGCGTATTTCGGTGAGAATGGCTACATTTCTGCCATATGATATGTATTTCTTCCGGTTTTGCATATATAATGCCAATTTACCCCTGATTTTCTGTGCTCTCTAAAATTTCCATTTCCACATAGAGTTACCCATATAATTTCCTGACTACCATGTTACTTGAAAGTACCTATTCTCAATGAACGGTGAATCATACCTTTTACCTAGTTGTGGTTCGCATTCTTGATTCATTCTGTGGACTGGAGATAGCCATATACTACCTATTTGTAGGCTGAATAAGAACTGCAATATTGAGCTGACCATACCCCTTTTCCACCATCCCATGATTGAAACAAGGAACTTTATCCATAGAAGAATAGCTGAATCAAATGTTTTGCTTGCCTTAACTTGTCCCTGGGAGGTTATTTTTGCTATCAAAACTAATTGTCCTTCTATTAAATTAAATTCAGTTTTGCAATCGTATTTTTTATTCCTTGTGTTATACAATTTCAGATATGTTATTGATGGATTAAATTTTGATAGTTGTGTAATGAAGCATTTTCAAATATTTAGTGCTACAAATGACTGCTTTCTGTGAATATCTCTATTGCAATGAGTCTACTGCTGAGTCTCGAAATGTGATGAACATTTCCACTATAGTTAAGATCAGGATGGCACTGTACAAAAGATTCAGTGAAGCCTGGATCCAAGTCAATTAGAGAACACGATATTCTGACACTGTTTGCCATCTGACTTGAGTCTGCTTGCTTTTTACATTCTGCTATGTCCTATTACAATACTATTAGTTGCTTTCGTAGTTTTATTACAGACTGTAACCTGTAATTTTGTGTTGCTTTTGTATTATGACAGATAGCAGCGAAATTCTCTAGTCTTGGTAAGTTTTGGCTCAAATGGCTTCTAGAAGGAATATACCACTAGGACATGAAAGGCGTTCTTCTGATGCTCCAGGCATGACGCGTCATGGTCCATTGTCTGCTGCCCGCCACCCTAGAGAACAACTTTCTCCAGCATTTTTAGAGAATAAATTTGTTTCTCAGGCAGCAGAATTAGAAACTCTTTCTTCGGATCATCAGAAATTGACATCTTCCCATATGGCCTTGAGACAGGATCTTGTAGCTGCTCAGCAGGAGGTAGAGAAACTCAGAGAACATATAAGAAGCACACAAACAGAAGGTGATATTCAGATTCGGATTTTGTTGGACAAGATTGCAAAATGGGAAGCTGACATTAGAGCTGGTGAGAGGGTTAAGAAAGATCTGCAACAGGCCCACCTTGAAGCACGGAGCTTGGTGACAGCGAAGCAAGAATTGACTGGTCAAATCCAGAAAGCCACCCAGGATATGGACAAAGCACGTGATGACTTGAAAAAGCTTCCAGAAATGAATGCTGAACTCGATAGCTTGAGGCAAGAACACCAGAGGTTGCGGTGAGTGTTTTACTGTTCATTATTTTCTTCAATGATCTCTCACGGTAGATTTCATTTGATATTTTATTTATTGTAATGGATTGCACCTTGATAGGATTTATTGTTTATCTGAAGGATTTGCTATTAGGTGTTTTTGATGCTTTTTCCTGCATATTTATTGGAGACTTGCGGGCTTGACTATATTTCAAAGACAGAAATATGCTAAGATAATTTGAAATCAATGGATTACGCAGTACTCCTTGTGTTTATATTCACTGCAATTGCTTGTTATTTTTAATTGGACGATAGAAGTTCATCTATTTAAATTATTATTTATTGTTTGGGACTGCAGCAAGACTTTTGAGTATGAAAAAGGTCTAAACGTAGAGAAAGTGGAACAGATGAAGGTCATGGAGAAAGACCTGGTTGGTTTGGCTGAAGAAGTGGAAAGACTTCGTGCTGAAGTTTCAAATGCTGAGAAGGCGGCACATGGTAATCAGCTTCATTTATAATTTCAGGCATCAATTAGGAATCTACCCCCATTCTTTTCGATTTTTACTAATTGCAATTTCTTAATATGTGTAGTTCCAAACCTGTATGGTGGTCCGTACATGAATCCACATCCTTCTTATCCACATCCGATGAACACAAATGTGGGGTATATAGATGATTATGGTAGACCTCAATACATGGGTGGTGTTGCTGTGGGAGAGGGAATGATTCCGTCTGGCAGTGGCTCTACTCCTGCCGTTAATCCCGCTTGGGGAGGATCATATGATATGTCCCATACTCTGAGGTGAATGTGCATCAGATACATTTACCAGTGATACTTCCTCCAAATGGTCCATTTGGATTCTTCATTTTGCCCAGTAAACTGGATTCCTGTAGTTCTTCACAACTTGTTTATTAGAATCAAACTGTACAAAAATCAATACTCTCTGTGGAACATGTGTTTTACTCTCCTATTTATCACAACCTCCTGGTTCTCCTTGCCTTTTTTCTCTCTAATTTTTAGTTTTGGATCATTTGTTGGTATTGCAGTTTGCCAAGGATGAACAAGCACATACTACAACACTGTTGTACAGTGTTTAAAAAAGGACGAATCTCTCTCGAAAAAGAATTTATTTAACTTTATCGCAATAGGTTAGATCATAGATGCAATTTTCTGTCACCTACAAACAGGTTAATCATTTGCAGCCCTCTCATTTTGAATAAAAGAATTTCTTAAACAGTGCTTTTTCCAAAACGTGAACTTGGAAGTTCACATTTTTCGTTGCCTATCACACGGAATTTTTCTGATGTACTCTTGGTAAGAAAATACTAACATTTTCAACAACTTTTTTCTTGAATAATCCACTAGAATGCAACAAAAATGTCATCATAAACCAAGAACAAGATAAAAATAATTCCTTAAAATCGACCACAAAGGAATAAAACCAGAAGACATAAAGAAGCCTACAAAAATCTGCTGCTAACCTGCATACTGCTCCCACATTGTAGCAACAAATAACAACAAATGTGAAATCATAAGTAACAAAGACATAACACTAAGGAAAGTCCCAAGTTTCAACCATTTTCCTTCTAATGTCTTAACATATCCATTTTTACATGCATTGCAGTTGTAGCATAGCATGGTTTCATCATTTTTCCATAAATCACAGTCTCTGTCATATGGGATTGTGCCATCTATATTATCTTTGTTTCCTCTTCTCCAGTAAGTCGCATTCACGAACTCCATCTCGCATGTCGATGGTGGCGTGCAGCATCCCGACTTTGTAAAGATACAAAAAATAAATAAATAAAGATTCGAATCAAATAAGATAAATGCATGTCATATCAGAATCGATAAGATTAGAAACAAGATATTTGCTAACAAAATCGATGTCGGAATGAATAGTACCTCGATGGGGGACAAATTACTAGTCGAGACACTGTTTGAGTCGAGCATATACGATCTGGAGATCAAATCCTTACACGTTCTTGTCTCATAAATGCAAAGCTTGATATCATTCCAATTGTTTCTATTATGCACCTTCAGATCAAGCCACCTAGGTGAAGCAACGATCCTCCGGGTCTCCCAATCTCCTAGAATCCCGAGCCCTACGATGAGCGTTAAAATCGTCAGAATGACGATCACGACAAGTCCAGGTGCAGGAAACTTAGCCCTGGTGTAAATCACAGCATTGCTGAGGAAGAAAATAACCAACATTCCAATGCCAACCCCACTTTGCAATCTGGGCAAGTTTTTCAACAGCCCTTCACAATCATATTGCTGAATGTAAAGCAACCATATACCTAAAAACAGAATTGGGATAGAAAGAAGAAAAGTAAGTAGGACTAATAGAAGCACAACTTTCTTGGAATTAAGTGATTTTACTCCGCGCATAATCTCTTTTTTGGGTTCAGCTTTATCAGGAATTTCTTCTTTGGTTTCAGGTTTTTCTTCATAAACTGTCAGTGCTACTGACTCTGGAGGTGGATTACTTGTATTGTTTTCTGGTCCAGCCATGTTGATGAGGATGGCAACAACGTTAATATTAGTTTGTTTGTTGATTTTAATGTTAGAACAAGTTTTGATTAATAAAATGTTTATTTTGGGGGTATAAATTTACTGTCATTTCACTGAATCAATCTAACATCACGTTTGCTATAAACTCTCCACTTTGAGAAATTATTGGATAGGTGGTTGGTTGTAAGAACAAGTCCAATCTCTCAACTGAATCTAAAATTGCCTTAAAATATTTTACTGGAGTAAGCTTAAAAAGCTTTAGTTAACCAGCAAGGAAAAAAAATAAAATATTATTATATTATTACTGAAACATTTATGTTATGTTTAATTCTAAGAATTGAGTTATGCTATAAAAGGAGAGAAAAAGAGAAGAGAGAACAAAAATCAGTAGACTTATATGTGTTTTATTAAGAACCACACCCCTATATTTATAGGTAATAATATTTAGGGTTACAGGGCATAATTGTCATTCACTAATAAACTTACCATTTACAACAATTCCCTTGAATGACACATTATAAAATATATGCCTCATTAAAATATTGTTTGATAAAAATTTAATGGGACAAAAAAATTCAAATGAAGAAAAAAGAGTATAGTTATTTTTTGGAGTATTAAAAATAAATGTTGTCTCATTAGTAGTTTGCAAGAAAAATCCAGTAGGATAAAATCTAAGCAAACGAAAAAGAATATAGCGACTCCCCCTAATATTGATCATTGAAAATCTTTGAGTTGATGCATTCCAATCTCATGAACTAATTTCTTGAATGTAGATGTTTGCATTGCTTTTATCAATAAACCGATCACATTGTCATTTGAGCGAATTTGTTGGACATCAATATCATCATTCTTTTAAAGCTCATGTGTATGAAATAATTTTAGAGAAATATATTCGTCTTATTACCTTTGATATAGCCTGATTTGAGTTGTGCAATACAAGCCGCTTTATCTTCAAACAAAATTGTTGGTCTATCTTTTGTTGAAATTAACCCACATTGATAAGATTTATGGAAGGCCTCAAGATGACAAGGAATTGACGCCACTTGATAAGGGGTGCGAGACCTTGGAGAGCCAACAAAGTCGTCCGACTATTTGATAGAGTTATGTAATTCAAAATGCCGAGGTTTACAAGCCAAATTCCAAGTATATGTGGGGACGCCGAAAGCCAAAACAACTTGAAGGCAATGCAATTCAAGAAGCTGGGAATAGGGTCTACTGTAAAGCCATGCGATCGCAAGGCTTTAAGCCTCATGCGGTTGCCCAAGAGGAAGAAGAAAACTGATCGATGGCAAATGTTGATTCATGCGGCCACATTGTGTATTTCGACTCCAATAATTTTAATTTTCTCTCGAGAATGACATTTTGGTTCAAATACATACTTTTGGTAACTTTCATAATTCTAGGACTCCTTGATTTCATTTTATCATGTTTTTAGGGTTTAGTACAAATAGGATATTTTATTTTTCATTGAAATAAACTTTTGATATTTGAGAGAATTTATACAAGGGGCTATTTGCTTCCACTTTTCTTGTTCTTCATTGAACAATTCGAACTTATCAAGAAATCTCTTTTCTTGTGGCGTTCACAAATCAGGCTAAGATTCACTAATTGTGTAATCAAGAGGTCAGTAAATTCTTTGTTGGTTACTTGGTTCTTAAGTTTTGGGTTAAATCCAAAACTTTGCTTATTGGTATTCTTGGGATTTGGTCTCAATCTCGATGTGGGTTTCTTAGCCGTCGTTGCTACGTGAATTCATATAAGTTGGTATCAGAATTTAGGCTCCAAAATCAAGATTACATCTTTCATTTTTTTGTTAAGTCTTTTGTTTTTGTTTTTCTACGTTCTTGTTGTTTTTGAGTCTTTGATCAGTAAAATTGTCGTTAAATTTTTAAAAGTTGTTTTTGGACTTATTTAGCATCCAAACAACTTTTGTTTATTTTGCTAATATCATAGTCAATTTTCTATCAAAAGGAGTAAAAAAAAAAAGGACAAATTATTATTGTTATTATTGATTTATTTTGGGAATTGCCAGCCTTCTACAAAGTTTTGAGTCAAATTTGATCTGTCCAGTCTAAAATTCAAGAATCACTTTCTTGAATTTTCATAATCTCCTTTCAAATTTTGTCCAATTCTTTTGAGTCCCCTTAAAGTCACAAAGCTTACATTTCATCCGATTAAAATCCACAAGAATTATTCGAGATTGAGTTTGAATTTGTTTCTGAAACATTTGATTGGAAGTATTGAGTGAAAAAAGGCCAAGTAGTGATACACAAGCGAAGTATGTTAGGCAAAAATATTTTGAATTTAGGATGTCTGAAATGGAAGGATCAAATTCAGACAGGAACGGTAATCAAATCAACATGTCTGACAATGTGATGCGAAGGTTTGAGAGGCTGTTTGTGGATATGTGAGATATGATGGATCGATAGGAGGCTTGGATGGAAATGCTAGACACTACAGTTACTAATCTTCACAGGGAGTAGTGTGTAGAAGTACCTAATGTAAAAAGATAGGGTAGACAAGAACGTAGGATGAAGATGTATGATGAGTATGTATACGGTAGTAATATGGATGAGGAGACATTAATGGAGGTTGAAATGTGGGGAATGAGGAATAGAGGTGATAGGATTGAAAGATGGGTAGAAATAATAACGGAGACGAAGTGAATGGAGGCATGGGCAATGTAAAAATGTCAATCCCAAGTGATCCAGAACTTTACTTAGAGTGGGAGAAGAAGTTGGAATTGATCTTCGATTGCTACAATTATTTGGAAGAGAAGAAAGTAAAGATAACAGTCCTTGAGTTCACTAATTATGCAATAACTTTGTGGGATCAAGTGGCGACATCGAGGCAGAGGAATCGGGAGAGACCTATCAATACTTGGGATGAGTGGAAAGCTATTATGCGGAAGAGGTTCATGCCTAGTCACTATTATAGGGAACTTCATCAAAAGTTACAAAGTTTGTACCAGAGGTTAAGGACTGTAGACGACTACCACAAAGAGATGGAAATATTAATGATTAGGGAGAATGTGGAGGAGGATTGGGAAGCCACTATGGCTCTGTTTCTAAATGGGTTGGATAGGGATATTGCTAATGTAGTATGGTTGCAATATTATGTGGAGTTTGCTTCATTGCTTTTCACTGAACAATTTGAACTTATCAAGAAATCTCTTTTCTTGTGGCGTTCACAAATCTGACTGGGATTCGCTAATTGTGTGATCAAGAGGTTGGCAAACTCTTGTTTGTTGGTTACTTGGTTCATAAGTTTTAGGTTAAATTCAAAACCTTGCTTATTGACATTTTTGGGATTTGGTCTCAATCTCGTTGTGGGTTTCGTAACTGCCATTGCTATGTAGGTTCACATCACACATGATGTTTAGATATAATGGGTCTATTTCTCATGAATTGCAATAATTTCAAAATGATTTGAAGATATTGCTGTCAAAAATTGTTTCACAGATTTTCATGATATAGCTGTTCTTCCATGTGT